GAACATTTTCAGTTTAGATTGAGAATGTGCTAAAACAATGTGTCTGATATCTAAAAGATTCCCATGTCTCCTTTTCCCTGTTTTTTTCTCCCAAACCCCACTCTGTTATTGCCAGTCAGGCTCGGGACCCGAAACTGATTTTATTATGCAGTAATTGTTCTAAATTTCCATTTTTTTTCCTGTAACAAATGTAATTGGTGCTGCTGTGAGGGTAAACCAAACTGGGTTTTGCAATTTTACTTGCAAATTCTTATTAACTCTTCCCCTGATTTGGGATTGTTGAGACCAGATAAATTTCTGCCCTGTTTTGATCTTCTTAAGAACCGTGTGTTAAGAATGTTTAGTGGGAATATATTTCATAAGGGCAGAGGTGGGACAGTAATGGGTCTACAATTTTCGCTAGAAGACAGGAAAAAGCCGTGCATGCGGGGGCAATGGACCTTTCTTTTTCCTTTACCGAACTCATTATGTACTTCTGCTTCTTTATAATCCCCAAGATTTGGAAAATTCAATGTATTTAGATTTGATGGACATATTCTAGACAAGATAGCATTGTAAGATTAGATAAATTTTTTTGTTAAAATTGGGTTAAAATCTTTCCTTGACAATATGTTGTGATTCGATCGTGACAAGTTCATTATGGACAGAACACATCACCACCACACTGAAGATTGAGGAATTGTGACCTTTGGATCACATTTCCCAGATTAAACATGAAAATGGAGCAGATAAAAAACCAAGACATACCACCGCCACATTGAAGGTTGAGGAATTGTGACCTTTGGACAACATTTCCCATATTAAACATGGAAATGGACAGACAAAAAATTATGCAATGACGCGGCAAACCGTGTCCTTGAATAATTCTAGCCATCTCTATAGCATTATAATTCACATTTAAGCAAAAGCCAAAAGCAGAACCATACATGGTCAACTGTGTCTTTAGGTAATGATAGAGAGACAGCAAGTAAATTTCTTTGAGATGCATCATGTTTGTCGTTGAACTAGAAAAGCGTGACCCCAAATGTTAACTCGTAATCTTGTTATTCATAGACCACCTTTTTTTTTTTTCTTTTTTTCTTTTTTTCTTGATAAGATTCAATGATTCATGGACCTTATGGAATCATGGGGAAAGTAATCCAAAGGAATTCACTCAAAACAAAGGTGATTGGTCTGTAATCAATAGCAAAACCCCACATTAAATCCTCAATTTTATCTCAAATTTTTTATTAAACACTAAAACTTTTATTAAAGTAAATAAGTTTCTAAATTTGGTGATTTAGGCACTTTAATCATCTTTTTTTGAAATGAACTTAACACCCGTTTCTATCTCATTTTTGTAGACAAAATATTGATCTATCATTGCCTATTTAGAGGGTATTGATTTTATCCACGCAAGGAAAATACAAATGAATGTAGAGTTCACCGTAAAAAAGATGATTAAATTGCTCAGATTTCCAAATTTAATAAGTTTATTTACTTAAATAAAAGTTTAGAGGCTTAATAAAAAATGTAGAATAAGTTCAAGGGCTTAATGTAGGTTTTACCTAGTCAATATTTTTTTTTTTCTGTTCCTAGAAACATTATCAAAGAAACAATTAGGAGCAATTCCATTATTCCAACAACATCAGACAGGCACTCAATCGGAGAAGCTTTAAGATTAAAAAAATGAAAAATATCTTTCTGATTTCTTCTTTTCATTGAATGTTCAAAATTAGAATCCTTAAAAGTTTTTTTTAAACACTTGTTGATTAGCAACAAACGTAGGTTAATAATAATTTTTTAAACATAAAATAACAAATTTTAAATTCAAATCATAAAAATGTAAGTGTAACAAATAAAAAAATATAAAATTATTATTTTTTATTATATAACTCGATATAAAATTTAAAAAAAACACTTAGTTAATAATAAATTGATTCGCTCACATACGTAAGTTTATCAAAATTGAGAGTTCAAGTAAAATTGTTTTGATTAGTTAAAATTAAAATCATAAAATTGAATTGGTAAAATTGAAAGTTTATTATATTAGTTTAAAATTTATATATTACTAAAATTTAACATCAAATATTCAAATTTAAAATTTATCTAAAAAATGTAATTACTAATTAATTATTTCGAGTCTTTTTTAAACATTTTTCTATTTCATAGTTATTAAATTGTTTTAAATTTTAATGATTTTGACTTTAAAAAAAGTTAAAATAAAATATTATTAGTTTAACTTAAAAAAATTTAATAAAACCTTAAAATTTTTACTTGAAAACTCAAAAAGGCCAAATTACATGACTAAGATTTAAACCACTACAAAACAACCTATAAATAGGTAACAAGCACCACTCCACCAATGTATTGTTAGTGATTATTAATCACATTATAACACAAAAGTTTATAAAACTTTTTAAATTTATAAAGTCTCAATTTTATTTTACTTCATCTAATTTTACAATTTCACTGTTTATTATCTAGAATAGTAAATTCGTAGTTAAAACCCAATCATGACAACTTTGCTCACACGTGCACTTGGAATTACTTGTTTTTGTACGGACGAAAAATTCTTGTGTTCAGACTCTTGTGATAAATAATGGGATGACTTTTGTCGTGAAAATGTCTGGTGAGAACAAGACAGCACAGTGTGATACAGTACGAACTGTCCATACATTGATTGCGTGTCATCTCATTTGGGTTAAGCAGCTTACTTTCTTCTGACCATCACTTCTTTTTTGTACCAATCAAGGATGATTCATGTTGGCAGAATCCAATTCGTTGTGGTAAAATTCAAGCAGAGTAAGGTAGCAGAAGAATTCCATGAATATTTTACTGCTCAACGAGCAAGACACCAAGTCTCCCCTTCAATCATTCCAAACACAAAAGAAAGCAGGGCGGCAGAATAATATGAAAAATCGAGTCAATGGAGGAAAAATCAGTGGAGTACAGAGCTTAATAATGGGAAAAAGAAACTCATTTCTGAAAGGGAATCATTATTCCATGCTCCAACGCTTGTACGAATTTACATAAGTGACAATCATGATCCCTTTTCCCAGGAACTGAAGTACATCTTTGCAACTTTGACACATGTTCAATTACCTTAAAAGATCTGAATGTAAAATGTCAATGAGCATGGAGGTATGATTTTTTATGTGAGATTTGAAGGCAGGGACTTGCAGTAGGATCAGCAGTCTGACAGATTAAAATGCATGTAGACTGAAAACTCTTTAAAAATTAAGCTCCATTGTTAGGCTCCTGAATTTGGATAGAAGTTTTTGCTAAGCTTGCTTCCAGTTCATTCAACTCATCAATGTCCAG